TATTTGAGTATCTTGATCATGCTGAAATCCAAGATATTAGTGATCATAGAAGATATGAAGAATTCTGCTTGAATTACTTTGGTGTGTGGAGACATTTTAATAATCGACATACTGTCTATCTTGTGCTGAATTCCAATGCTGAATGGCTGAGAAAACTGGATTACAAATATGTTTGCAGTAACCAGAAACAGGTTTCTATGTCTCGCCATCAATTTGTCTCAGCTGCAAGGAGTTATTGGTGTTCAGAACTACTCTCTGTTGGCCTGCAAGTTTTGACAAAGCTTGAGAAATTCTATAATTTCCCAAAAAAAAATTCTCTGTCATCCTTCTATCAAAGCAGGTCTCTTACTCATATCTACGAGGTCGCAACTTTTCTCTTGAATTGCAAGTTTCTGAACAATCAGCGTGTGGACAAGGATCTGATGAAATTTGTTCAACTTTCAACGAAGCACTTCTTTGGCTACATATTTCCTCTTGATTGGCGAGAATCACTGAGGGAGAACATTATCTCTCTGAGGGGAACTGATATCTCAAAGAATTTACTTGAAGAGGTTATATTTGAAAAGATCAGGTCAAAGAATAGGTTGTCTTATGGGGAAACTCGAATGGTGGCATTGATAATTCTTGGAACTGATCAGCTAAACAATGAAATATATGGGAAGATTCTTGAAGGCTTAGAATGGAATACAGAATGGAAGAACTTCATTGGGAGTCTCAAAGAGGATAGAGGTTCTCCTGCAGTTTCTGCAACTGGCCCTATCAATGTATTTATCGGGGGGAATAGAAGCTCAGAATCTACAACTGGATCTTCTTCTGCTGGTCATATCAAGGAAAGTGGGAATGAGAATAAAATTATTTTCAAGCTCCATGAAGCTTTACAAGTTACGTATAAAGCTAACTGGAGGAGCATATCTGATTACATGTCACCAGTTTGTTTCTTGTATCTTGTTGAGCGCTATCTGGTTTTGTAATCCTACTTCAAAGGTTACCTTTTCACTACCAAGGCTACTTTTGTCGAATGGCTTATCTACCAGGATGGGATACCTAGCTCAACTTCCAGTTTTGTGACTGTTGAGCACCAATCTTTGGAAGGCGTTCTTAAATTTGTAATTGAAATGGTCCAGCAGTTACTCTATTTTAAGCGAGATACAGTAGATTGGATCAGAAAATTTCATACAAATGTGAAGGAGAACCATTCACTGCTGGTTTTGAGATTGGTTGTCATAATGTGTTTGCTTCATTTGAACTTTCATAAGTCTGAATTTACGTAAGTGTCTCAATTTACTTTTTGACTTGCTGGGTCAAAAGCATATTACAGAACTACTGCCCTGGGATTTCTGTGATGCTCTTCGGAGATGGCGGAGATATAATTCTCTGAATATTGATGTAAATGTGCTTGGTCAAGCACTCAAAAAAATCAGGAACCCTCTCACAATTGTGAGCATGGCGGGAAACTGTCCAAATTTTGCATGCCAGGATGCTATATTTGTTGATATGAAGGTGAATCCATGCAAGGAAGAAGTATTGAGAGTCTTGTTCCCTAAAGCTGCTAATTTGTGTGGCGAAGTACTTCCTCCAGCCAGTTACAATGATGGGAAGAGCTCAAAGGTTGTTCTAACTTTAAGCTCTGGTTGTCTGCTAGATCAAGACATGAATGCACAGAATCAAAATAACAGTGACATGCTGAGCTCAAAGGTTGTTCCAACTTTAAGCTCTGGTTGTCTGCCAGATCAAGACTTGAATGCACAGAATCAAAATAATAGTGACATGCTGATTAACCATGTC